TAGTTACTCGATTTTACGCGACTTAGCTGGACTGGCGTGACGCGAATAAACGGTCGTGTTCTCTTTCGACACTGTCTTCTCTCTTCTCGAATTGTGACCGGCTGTTATCTATAGGGTTTTGTGGTAGCGCTAAACTCGGCCCCTACAACCTCGGTTCTCCTCATGCCAAATAATACACAAATATACAAAGTGCTGTGATATGTTAAAAAGCGGCACATTACACAAAATAAACGAAAACAGAATGGGTGGATTGTGAAATACTGGTAAAGAATGCATAAGGTTGTACTGTGAAAACATAAAATAAAGTTCGGTTTGTGACGTAGAGAGCAGGTTGTGGGGATATTCAGGAATACACAGGGAGACCAGCGTGCACACAGACGACGTGGCAAGAGTGAGGCCATGCAGTGATTGTACAGGGCAAATTAAAAGACTAGATATTCATTGCTAATTGAATATATGTCGCTGCGTAGGGTTGATCGGCGATCCACAGCTAGACACCTACAATATCACTAACTGAATCGTCGCTATTGTTAGACTCCGCGTCGTCAATGGCCTCTATCAGTTCATTGAGGTATAGCGACATTTTGATTACATTTTCATGGTGTGGCTGTTTGAGTCGTTCTGTGACATTTAAAGTGATAAGCGCAACCTGCAAGATAAGTTCATGTATCATCTCTGGAAATTTGTCTAATGGCGCTGCAAACTTGTGTGTGGATCTGCGGCGATTCGCGTAGACACGAAGTATTTCCGTGAGGGTATTCCTTCGAGTCAAGATTATACTCACGTCGGACAAATCGGGGCGGTCTTGAAAGAAAACAAGCAAGCATCAACTTCTTTAGGCTTCATTGAAATTTCGTTCAGGCATTGTTTGCGAAGATGACTTACAGGGATTAATGAGGAGAAAGGCGGCCAACATGGCGACCTCAACGTCATCGACCTGCAGCTTGTGCAGTTTGAAGGCCAACGAGTGGGTAAAGAAAGAGCATATGTCAGACGAGGTACCGATTTCAGGATACACTGTGTTCTCTACTGCTGGAACCGTCAACCAGTCCTCGTTTCCCATCACCTTACCACCGCACTTTCGCCGTAGAATGAGAGACAGTGTGTGGGCAGCTGGCAAAGTTAGAATGTCCGTGATGGCGGTTTGAAGAAGTTGCATCTGATCCAGCGAATTGAGCTAAAAATAAACATTGGCACATCTGTTAACACCATTCTGGCCTTTAGTGAGCATTTTTCAAGCATTTAGATGCTAGCTTACTGAAGAAAATCCAAGCATCTGAATTGCAAACCCAGGCAGGTGGCATAATATTGGGTTTGGTACAAAAGGAATGGGCTCGGCATTTTTCGACCCGACACCACCCTTCGCACCACCTTGAGGCTGGTCATCTCTCTGAAGAGGAAAATGACAACTTGTGGACACGAAGGATGCCAACCACGACAAGTGGATGTGAAACACAGGTAGATAATTCAATTCGAAAATTTCGCTACGTGAACTGGTGGTGCTGTCACCAATGTGCTATTAGTAGTTGCTATGTGGCCTCTGGAAGTGGTTGAACGCGTATGCTTTGGTTAGCGTAAGTAAAAAGCTTACCTTAAAAGATGCATCAAAATTATTCAGGCTGTTCGACACATTGACAACGTAATAGGAATTTGCAATGATTCCCGCCATGCCAATGTGATCAAAATAACGACTTTTTTTCGCGTTAGAGATGTCATTTGGTTCGTTTGATTCATTCGCACCGCTGACTCCGCCAAGGTAAAGGAGAGGAGTAAATTATTGCTCTGGCAGCTTACGCTCTTTTGTCACGCCAATTTCGAGGCATCTGTCAAGTCGGCATTTCTTTCCTCTCGTCCGATTCTTATTTTCAACAACGTAGCACTGGCCGTAGAATTGGCATGTGGACCCCACTTTTCCTTGCATCGAGTGGCAAAAGAAGCGCTTACAGCCATCGCAGCTCATGGTATGATAGTGGAAGCCCATGGCATTGTCTCCACAGACGACACGTGGTTGGGGTCGTTTGATGGGGTCCATATATCTTCTGCTGTATGGAGGAAGCAAAAACCCAAACTAGTTGTTTGAACTCAGCGTTATGCAGTATTGAGGTCCTACATTGTCATCATGAAATGCTTCATACCCTATCGCTGACTGATTTGAACTGCAAGAACCGAAATGCATCATCCCCAGTAGTAGCCATAACTCGCGTCTTGTAATTCCTGCACTCATTCGAGCACACCAGAAAAGCACTTGGCTGTGTGACCTGGTAGGAGGTAGAGATTAGACATCAGAAATGGGAAAAGTAAAGCTATCTTCAGTCTTGTTCTGGAACAACCTTCGTCACCGATGCAACTAAATTTGAAACAACGTAAATAGTGATGCCATGGCAGTGTATGTTCAAATCGAAGAAGACACCACGGTCGAACTGCTCACTCAGTGCATATAAACCACAGTCTACAATTATAGGCAAAGGGTGACTTGCGCACGCTTCCCCCGAATTCTCATAAGCCCCGAAATAACTGTGCCAACAATGGAGGGGAGGGGAGTACGTGGAAAGTACGTTTTTTCAGGATAAACTAATATTTCAAGCATGGACACTTAGAGCTAGTTAAAGTCTACCTTGCTGATAATGTGTGCAACTTCATTCCTATTGATGCAGCCATTTTCGAACAGCTGATCGTGTCTTAATCGTCTTAATCACGATTTCGGGTGCTAGATCAGGCCATGTGATACTTAGTTGGAAAGAGGCGATGACAAGAGATCCAAAGTGCGGCATTAAGAGACCATGGGTGTGTATTTATTTTCTGCGTACTCAGATGACGCTGAATGCACTTTAAAAGAGAAATCTTGCGGTGCATGGCACAAGCCACCGTTGGATTAAGCGGTTAGTGGCAGGGTAAGAATCACGCAGCAGCCATTTCATTAACTTTGTCAACTCTAAAATCGTTCAGTAGATTGACGCCTTTGTGCCAGCCGAAGGGAGCACTTATCACACTGATACTTACTTCTACGCTGGCGTCGTGTGCTTGGCTCTGAATTAGCTTCACTTTAAATCCGGTTTGGCGACGAGGATGTTCCCTCGGTCCGAACAGGTGTCTGACCTGTTGCTTTTTCACATACGCCCTGCGAGCTCGAGGCAAACACTCCACTGTTCGCATCGTGAGATGGCTGGTAGGATGTCGAGACAACTAATTGGCTGTTTCCTGTTGGTTGATCTCCATTCCTCATAGGCCAGCAGTTAAGGCCGAAGAAGTTGGAAGTCGCGTTTCCGAGGAATTGTTCGTGGCTAAACCTGGAAGTGGGTGGGCATGGATTCGTGTTGTGTGCCGGCGCAGGCTGTGCCGGTGAAGTCGAATTATTCGAGAAACCACCCGGATCCTTTTTTCCATTCATGTTTCAGAATAAACTGAGACACGGTCGACAAGAAATAGATTGTCGAGTTACAAGTGCCCACACATCAAAATGATGACCGCGAAGGCCAGCGTAGTGGTAATTTGTTTTGGATCATTACTGGCAATCACCATGAAGAAGTTCATTTCAGATTCAGACTGAAGATGATGTCGAGATGACGTATCGGGAGGTGTCATTGTAAGTCGAGGGACGCGTAGTGGTTGGGTGACTTCGTCGTAGCCTGCTACGACCTGAATGGTGAATTGCAAAAATGGACAGAGATGGTTGGCTAGATTAGAGAAGGTGATAGACGACATGGTGTTGTTAGAGTGTGGTAGAAGATGGGCGAACTGGTGGCCGAACGTGGTGGCGCGCGTCCTTCATCCAGCAACATGGAGGCCAGGTGGCGGAAACCGTCTTGTGTGGTATGTCTTCCGTGGTGAAATTGGCCAGTAGCGTTGGCAGCAGGTGTTAGATGGTGGTTGTATGGAAGGCCTTGTGAGGTAGCGGTACCTGCCAGCTGGTGACGGGCTCTCTCGGTGTTCGCCTGTTTTACCCATTCACCTCCATCATCACCACAATTATCAAAATACTAAGTGATGCGTCGAGGTGCGTGTGGAATTGGCCGTTGGTCACACTACTGCACGTGAATCAACAGTAGAGTCATTGTCACAGCCACCGACGATTTGTCACGTCGAGGTGCTTAAAACTGCGATCTTGTTCGTAGGATCCCCGT